GTTTGACATTATATATATATAGCATTTATATATAGGTATGTATGTCTGAAAAACAATAAATATATACTCAATATTGACACAGCAACAAACTGAACATACTCTCATTTTCAAAATCAAAGAAAAGAAAACCAGTACAGAGAGAAACAGTGAGTGTCGCTTGTGGAGCACAGCACAGCAGGGAGCATCGACTCCTGCCCCGGCGGGGCGTTGGGTACCCCACACACTCGAGTAGTTGTTGGTGTTAACACATTCTTTAGTGACTCTGGGTGGAAAGTTACTTCAAGTTGTAGGTTAGCCACCCTCTGTGCTGTGTGTAACACAAACCAAGTGGGACACAAGGGAGACACAAGGGAGACTCACCTCCAGGCTCGCAATGGAATGAGGAACAGAAAGGGGAGGGAAGCGAGGCTGCCGGCCAGTGTGAAAAGAAAAAGAAGTCATGGCCAGCACATGGCAGAAGGTCATAAATAACCATGGTAAACAAGTTTATAATAGAGTTAAGTGCTTTTAAAGACGATGGCTGGCACTGCTGCAAGAAGCGTCTTGATTATCTGTTGCCAACTCCATGTAATGAACCAATTTTCCCACTGCCACAAGGAGACACAAAATAAAACCCAGATGGCCAAATTCAGATGCTGGAGATGGGGTCACCACGTGACCCTGCGAGGCTGCAGGTTCAGAGCCAAACCTGCCTGCCCGAGGGCAGCTGAAATCACTGAACGGCCTTAAACCTAATGGATGGGATTTTTTTAAAGGATGAACTTAGAAAAAAACCCAAAACAACCACCCCACACCCAACCCCAAACAGTTAATTTCACACATGCCAAAACATAATAAAAGATGGACGTTTTTAAACTTTTCATTTCAAAACAGCATTCTTTAAAAACAGAACTTAATCCCAAAGGAAAAAAAATAAATTGTCTTCTATAAACATGTTCTGTGTTCAGTTTTGGATAGACCATAGCCATTCTGTTTATTCATTTAACCGAAAATGCTGAATAAAAGCTATTTCAGTTTGACCTAAGCTGCTACCCTTCATTTCTCCAACCCCACGGCTTTGATTTGGCAGCTTTGAGAAAGTCATTACTTGCCTGGGCTCTGGCTTCATACACTCAGTAAGTCATGAGGTTATGACATCAGTTCATGAATGCAGCATTATGTACAGTCCTGTCTACTTAAAATTTCGTCTTTTCATGAGCAAATGGAAGTGGGCAGTTATTGTTGAAGGGGAAATTATTTTTATTGGACAGACTTCATCCAGCTGCTCAAGAGAGAGGAAATTTTAAAGCAGATAAGACTGCTGATTATACTTCGTCTCTAAAATTTACAAACTGTGCTTCCCACAGATAACAACTTCAAAAACAACAGCAAGAAGCTGCTATCCTGAATAATCCTGCCAGTTCACAACCAGTCCTAGATACCCAGAGAGCACTGCAGAGGTCAAAACAGTCCAGTGTTGAGTCTCATACATACTTAACAGTACATCACTGGGCCACTGGAACATCATACCAACGTGTTGATTATCTGCATGAAGTCTGCTAGCTGCTTTTAAACCCTCATCAGTACAGAACTTCAGAGTGAAGAGACTTAATAATTTGTGGTATTTTATACTGAAGGCAATAAATAAAAGCCAAATCTAAAAATTCCCAGCAGCAAAAAATTCTGTCACCAGTAATTTCTTAATCTCTGCAACGACACCATCAAGATACTTTACCCATTAAATTTTACCCATTAAATAAAATCTGAGCTTTGGGTTTCTTTTTTGGTAGATAAATGAGTAATTTTAAATAGTCTGGGTCTTTTTAACATTTGTATGGACACAAAAATAAATAAGGTAACAGAGAATTTGAATTGTCCTTGAGCTGTGACCACACTCAGCAGAAAAGCCTCCTTTTTTGAATGGCTGAACTTCCAGGACAGATGTTCACTTGGAAAGCTCTCCAAAAGAAGGAAACACTAAATACAAAGTGGAGAGTGCCTCTGATTGCCCTATGCTGGCTGGGCAGGAACTTCTCATGCTTTCAGCCAAAGCTGCCCATCCTGAGCCTAAACTCATCTACGCGTGCCCTGATTCTCTGCCAGATTGGCTGCATGGGTAAGAACATACCACCTCTACTTGGTATTTTCTAACTACAAGTACTACTAATTTAACGCATGCATGATATTAGATATAGGAAACCCCAAGCTCTTGCGGAGTTCTTACGCCTTCATGTAGGACTTCACTGAGTTCAGCACTAAGGAGATGCAGGATCTAGCAAGAGCACAGGATGGATGCTGCTTCCCCAAGGGCAGGGTCCCTTCTCGGGCTCCCAAACACTAAGGTGGACAAGACTGCTGCTGTCACCCTCGGGAGGGGCAGCCCTCATCCTCCTCATGACCACCATGTTCTCCCTGTTGGCATGGGCATTATAGGTACCAGATTGCAGACACCCCTCCCTGTCACTCCCTGCTGCAGTCACCACTCACTTTGGGCACATGGAAGGACTTCAGTTGTGCCCTGCTGTCGCACAGCATAGGGTTGCCCTACTCCTGGTGTGAACCCCAATGCAATTCCTATGGAAAATGAGATATTGTCTCTCAGCTGACAGCATTCCCAGCATTGGAACAAACCCGTGCAGAGCAGCAGAGAACTTCACCTGGGCTCTCCCCTTTGGCTCTTTTTGTCTTTGGCAACAGACCGTAATGTTCCATATCCTTTGTGCACAGGCTGATGGCAAAGGAAAGAGCCTTTCCAACAGCAGTGCTGGGAAAGAGGAAGGAACATTTCTTACCTAGTGTATGAACAAGCTCATTTGGGGGCTACTGTAAATTCCAGCAGTAGCCGCAATTTGGCTATTAGGCCTGCACCAGTTCTAGCTGTGTTCATCTCAAACCTTGTGGCACAGCATTAAAGAAGAGCAATAAAAGTGCAATTTCCAAATACATGTTTCCTGTTGTGGTACCGCTTTTGAGTTCAATCAAGTCCATCTCTGCTATCTGCTGCCCAAATTCTTAAACCCAGCATGAACTCCAGAGGCTACTTAGAGCAATTCAATGTACTTTCAACTGTACCAAAATAGCAGAGGGCTTGACGCTGCCATGAAAGATCCCAATTTATCAGAATAGTAAAAGAGATTCTATAAATAAACTAAATTCCTTTCTCCTCTAAGCCAGGTGGAACTTTAGTATCTTTACACTTGACGCTACAGCACCTTCCCCTCCCAGAGAACGGAAAAACTGCCATACAATCCTGAAGGTATGCAGTTACTGCGGTCATCCCAATTAGGTAACAACTTCCCCTAAATCTAGCAGAAGATCTCTGTTGCTGTCAGAAGAGGAGGTCCCACCCCACCCCTGCTCATCCTAGCTGCCTCCCTGGGGCCAGCACTCTGGTCCCGCAATGATCTGTACAGGATGGAACCCATTTGCAAGCCAGTACTAATAGTAGCATCAGATGGCTCCGTAACCAAAGCATCAGATTTTCTTTCTGCTAAGCAGCACTATCTGCACCAGTAAGTCTGCACAGAGGATGGATAATGCCTGTCACCTAAACCTTTGAATCTGGGACAGAAAGGCTGAGCTTAGTAGTAATATCCCTGTTTCTCGCCTGGGGACTTGTCCTGGTTTCAGCTGGGATAGAGCTAATTTTCTTTCTAGTGGTTGCTGTGTTTCAGATTTGGTATGGAAGGAATGTCAATAATGCCTATTGTTTTCGTTGTTGCTAGGTGGTGCTTATACTATGCAAGGACTTTTTTCAGGTTCCCACAGAAGCTGAGAAGGAGCCTAAACAGAACGATGGAATGGCCAATGGAACATTCCATACCATAGATGTCATGCTCAGTATATAAAGGGGGTTTGCCAGGGGCAGAAATTTGTGATCATTGCTTGGGATGGTGCCAAATCACCAGGTGGTGAAAGTAACTTGTGTTGTATTACTTTATCTTGTATATTCTTTTACCATCAATATTATTATGGTTATTTTCCCTTTTCTATTTTTATTCTATGAGACTGTCTTTATCTCAATCCACAAGGTTTGGGTTTTTTTCTCCTCCCCTCTTTTCTCCCTCTTCTCCTTGCCCTTCTTGAGGAGAAGGGGGAGAACTGCAGGAGTGGCTGTGTGGTCCTAGCTGCCGGCCGGAGTTAAACCATGACAGGACCGTTCACTGCAAGGGCAGGGAACAGGATTCCAGCATACCTGCTTCCAGCTGGCATCGCAAAACCCAGAAAGACACAGAAAGAAAAAGAAAAAAAAAAAAAGAAAAAAAAGAAAATACAGATGGGAAAAACTGTCAACATTTGTGAACCAAAGTGAGGTGCAAAGACATGAACAGCAATTCCAGCACAACAGCCAAACCACTAAGAAGCAAGTGTCACACAAACATTTTGGTCCATGTTTAGTTTCAATTTTGGATGATGTTTAACTTGACATAGTTAATTATCTACCAGGCTTGCATTCATGACTCGAACTAGCCACTATTTTCAATAAATGGCTTTTGCCTTACTATATGAAAATTCTCTTGATCCCCTTGGGGTTAATTCCATTTTTCAGGAGAAAAAGAGAGATGATTTCTTGATCTAATTCTCCCTTGTGTATTTTTCAGGGCAGGAACTGGATAGCATGGTATACCATGACAATTATAATGGGAAATTCCTGTTGGCACTACCTCAGGAATTCTCAGAGATGCATCTTTAGGAAAAACATCCAAACTTGTCAAGGGCTGCTTTCATGAAAGCTTGCCTGAGGTCTTAGCAGAAGCGGTCATCCCCAGAGACAGTTGCTAGAACTGGCAAAACAACATGGATAGAAACAATTCTCCACTTGGGTGTGGTTTTGCAGTATTACATTATTCCTTCATCAGTCACACTATTACACTTTGGGGAATATTTCATGAAAGGTCACAGATATTGACACACATCAAAATTGAGCACACATTACTAATTTTGGGGTGGGAGTCAAGTTTCCTAACTTTAGCCACCTAAAAATTTAGAAGCCAAGATTCTCTGCAAAGGAGGAAGGTCATCAAAAATTGAGCACACATTAATAATTTTGGGGTGGGAGTCAAGTTTCCTAACTTTAGCCACCTAAAAATTTAGAAGCCAAGATTCTCTGCAAAGGAGGAAGAGGACAGGAATTTCCAATGGGCATCTCCTTCTATATGAGTCTCAGGATTACCTGAGTCAGCCTTTGGAGAGGTCTCTCCGCGTGGACTGCTGTGCCCTTGCACAGTGCATCAGGACAAGACACCTGACTTTCAGCCGGCTAAAGTCAGATGAGATGAACCACCCTACTGATGCCCTCCTGATCAAAACCATGAAGCTCTACGACTGGGCATAGGACAGGCAGGAGCACACAGCAATCACACGGAGTCATTTGTAGGAGAAGCCCTAGAAAAGCCCTTAGCGCTCCTAAAAATAGCAAAACAGCAAGTGCTTTTTAAAAAAAATCTAAATTATTCTGGCAGTTCTCTTTCTAACCTAAAATGGCAACACTAATGCGGTAACCTTGAGAAAGAGGGTAATATTTTCTTTTTTAATTTACTGCCCATCATCTTCTTTCCCCTAGTCAAAATTAACAAAAAACCCTGAAAAGGTTTTTCTCAAGTTTAATATAATTTAGTGCTATTATGCTTGTGTTCTACTTTTTTTTTTCCTATCTGAGGACCTAGCGCTGTAAACACATAAGCACTGGAGCAGCTTTATGCAGAAAAGCAGTATCCCTGTTTACCGGGATAATTCATGTGCCTGTCACTATATTCTTTCGAGAATATATTCTCGAAAGAATATACTATTTCAAGACTGCAATCTAAAATATTAAAAAGAAGAACATGACAAACATCAAAAGAGTTTGTCCACCCCTGCACTGCTGACAGGGAATGATGACTACAGTACCAGTAGCTGGCCACTTTAAGGAGGTGAAGAGGTGGGGGTTTTACATAATTTTTTTTCTTGGAAATGGACAGGAAATTTTCTCATCCCTTTTTGTTTTTTTTTTCACTCACACTCACCACTTGGTGGAGGTGAAAGCTTCTGGGTTGAGCTATATGAAATTAATTGTCACTATGCATCTCTCAAGTGCAAGTTCACAAAGGTTTAAAAGAACACCGCCCGTCTCAGCATCCTACGGTTTTGGGTTGAATTTCTACAGCTTTCCACCTGAAACCGAAACACAAGATGAATTCACTCAAAAGTCAGTCCCAGACGCAGGGAATTGTGTGTACACCTTCATAACACTAGCCTGAGTTTAGCTGTATAACAAAACCCACTGTCACTACTGCGTCACGCCGTTTGCCATCCAAGAAGGTTCTGCACAACCCATTTTAATCAGCAAACCGGTGCTGTTAACACTGAAGCTTACTGGGGGCTCACAGAAGACCCTCCCTCCCCCAATACCAGGGAATATGCACTGTGGTCGAGGACTGCTTTGTTTTAAAAGCCACACATTTTCCTACTTAGTTGTGCTTTAAATAAAACAAAACAAAACAAAACAAAAAACAACTAGCTAAACCAACACAGAGAAGCTCCTAACAAGCGATATGAAAAGTGAGCTGCCGAGATTTTCCATATCACACCAGACTTCCCCACCAAGTCCTATTATTCTGTGTGTTGGTTAGAGGTGTAGTACTACAGCACGGCGGCGTCAGCTGTCATGGGAGGAACCATTCATGTCAGACACTACAGAAAATTTAATGACATGACAGTACCTTCACAGCCCTCTGGTAGGTAAGGAAAATCTAAAAGGATCTTCCCAACCTTTCACAGTAAACACAATTGGATAATCTAAAGCACCTGCAAGCAGGAGATGAGTCCATGATATATCTTTCCAATCAGCCAGCTAATACTGTTATTAAAACAGTTACTTTATGTCAGCTCTTAAGTTTCCTATCTGTTTTGGGCATTTCTAAGGACCTTATCACTTTGGCATTTAGCCACCAACAGATTTAGTTGATCCAAACACCGTATCCTCAGCTGTTTCTAACATGCCCGGGCCCTTCACAGGGGCTGAATTACTATTTCCTTTAAGAGCTGTCGGGTTCCTATTCTCTCCTAGGAGCTGAGAGGAGCTAGCAGTACAGAGACATCCTGCTCTTCCGCATGGCTTCGCTGATTAAGTATGCCGGGCTCAGTTCTGGCTCCTCGGTCATGATTGAAATGTTCTGCCACTCCCCCAACTGGTTTGACTTTTTAATGGTGTCCACCACACACAGGGCATACAGACAGTCGTCAAAAGTGGCAGCCATCGTGAGGGGCCTCCCGTCCCAGGTCCTCCTGTCGTCCTGGTCCTCAAATGCCTGCCGGACAGCTTGAACCATCTTAATGGTGCCCCGGAGGTAGGGGGATGGGATGTCACTGAAGGCCTTCTCTGGAAGTAAGGAGTTGCTGACTGGCGTGGAGTCCTTCAGCAGGAGCTCCCGCTGAGGAGAGCTGTTGCTCTGTCCGTAGAGATCAGTGCCTATTACAATCAGCCGTCCTGCTGAACCCACCACAATAATGTCTTGTTTGAACTCCCCTGGGACGTTGAAGTTGAGCGTCACCGTGCAGCACACGCCGCCTTCCAGGACCATCTGAAACGTACAGAAGTCATCGCTGGTGATCTGTCGTATCCCCTTGATGTGGTCCGTCTGCTTCACGAAGGTCTTGAGCAACCCGTGCACCTTCACGGCCTTCTGGCTGGTGAGGAAGGTCAGGAGGTCGATGATGTAGGTGCCAACCGAGTGCAAGCCCCCACCTCCCATCAGGTCATCACAGCTCCAGTTGTACTTCTTGCCCAGCAGGCTTCCACTGTGAACCTGTACCTCGCACACCAGCAGCTCCCCTACGTAACCCTCCTGGATCAGCTGCTTCATCTTCACGAAGGCGGGCAGGAAGCGCAGAACATTCCCCATGATGCTCATGAGCTTTGGGTAATAATGAGCCGCGGTCATCATCCTAAAAGCATCCAGGGGAGTCGCCGTTCGGTCACAGATGACATTTTTTCCAATGCCTGAAAAACAGTTTAAAAAAAATCATCAACAAAAATATATTGATTGAGTAAGCTGAAAGCCTCAAGGCTATTCTTTACGACTAAGCCAAGAAGAAAGATCCTTGAAAGAAGAAAACATTTTGATGTGGTGTTAAAGGCACTAAGATCCTCTCTGGCATGTTTCCAAAATGCACATAAGACTTTCTTGAGCACCACAGTGAAATGCATCCCTTTATATTTTCAAAATGCACTCATGCCTAAAAACAGCATGAAGGTGAGGGCCTGCACAGATAAGAAAGTAAGCTAAGCTAAGGTGGACCACTCCCCCACTTTGGCCACCTTCTAAGAGGAAGTACAAAACCAACCACCCCCACTCAGTCATCTCACAGACATCTCTCCTGTGATAACCTGCCTGTGTGTGGGCTGCTGAGAGCTGAATCTGAGCTCCAGATTCAAATCCCTGAAGCACATGAATAACACAACCACAATTAACATAGGTACACTGAAAAGCTTGGGCTTGTCTTCTCAATGGTCTTGTCCCTTCATTTTTCCTGTTCCAACTCTTTAAGAGGCTCTGACTGGAGAGAGGGAGAAGTACTGGGCTTGTTGCTTGATTTAAAATGTAGGAATTGCCTCTCACTCATAAAATTCCACACTATTCTGACAATGACACTCTTTTTTATTTTTTGAAGCAGCCCTGCTGAAATGTCAACAGCGCATCCGTGGTGCCAAGGGAGAGCCACGACTGCTCTAAAACAGGTCAAATGTAGCTGTGACAATCTGTTCCCTCACGGAATTGCCCATATGGGCACACTGTTTACTGAAGCTTGCATGACAGTCCTGTTTTATCTGGCCATCAAGGTGTGCAACTGAATGCAGTGCAGGCTGAGATGCCTAAATAATGGTTTTATTATCGATTTCTCCTCGTCAAGTATTTTCATTCTGTATCCATGCACACATAAACTGACAGAATCTCCAGCTTCCTTTTTAGTTGCATACAAAGATTTTTTATTTTTTTTTATGCTTAATGAGCAATATTAGCTGAGCTACACAATACCTTATAGCACTAAATATCTTTGCTTTGACAGCCTCAGGCTGTAGCTGGGCCAAGCGCTTAAAAGAGCTGAAGCTGGAGCCTGTCTGCTGGAGTCTGGGTGAATAAATCTGGTTACTCACTAAGTCGCTTTGTGTTTTGATTCCTTTTCCCTTCAGATAGGTGAGAAATCCCTTTTTCTTTAAAGAGCTATTGCGAGGATAAAATTTTACATGTTTCGGAGCTGTTTGGATGAAGTCATATAAATACAGACAGATGGCAGGGATCTGTCTGAGCCCACTTACATGAATATTTAACAGCCTGGCTGGAAGAAGAAGGGGGTCACAGTCCAAACATTCAATAACCAGCTTATCCACACTGCCTATTCCCAGTCTTTGTCTACTGCTATTTGAGTAGCTGAAGCTGGAGGGAGGGCTGTCACCACTGAAGTGGCAGTCACATCTAGTTAACAGCCAAGAAAGGAAAGATCTTTCTTTAACTTGGTCCTATTTACCTTCTACTTAATCAGGTGAGTAGAGACGTACTCATTTTCCTCTTATATTAGGCAGGAATCCTCTCTTCAGTGGCCATGGTCTTCCCTTCTCACTTTTCTTTCTCATCTTTACAGACTGCTACTGGTGACCTAGTTGACACATTCAACCATACAGCACTTCTTTTCCTGCTCCTGAATAATTTTTTCCTGCATCTGTTTGATATTGGAGAAAGCATTCATCCACCTGCCCTATATTCCTCTAATGGGCATGTGATACAGATCACTAGTGTAACAGCCCTCCTGGAGTCACACAGACTCTTTGCAGAAAGATTTTAGTCTGACAAATTAGTTATGAAAAAAAAAAAGGGAAATCTTAGACAAAACTTGCCAATAGCCAAATCTACCTGAAATAGTCGTTTTCCCCCCAGGAAACCCATACGTACTACGCCATCATCTGACCTGCTCACCACTGATTCACAAGCATCATTTTCTGCTCCAGTTCAGCTTCCATCATTCTGCCTCACCGGCGCCCGTCGCATTTTATCTGGGGTCTGTGCAGGCACTAATCTCTCAAGATGTGCAGCTCTGCACACGTGTTTGTGAGGAAAAGGCTCTGCTTTCCTTAGGAATTGCAGGCCGGGGACAATCTTTTTGCTGGGTGTTCAGTAGCAGGCACAGTGGGGGTCTGTCCTTCACTGAGTGGGGCAGGGAACACTTGGGGACTGTCACAGTCTGAGTACCAAAGGACAATTACAAAGAGGAAAGAGAAGCTTATGGGTTTTTACATCCCTTACAGTCAAGAAAAATTGCCATTAGGATGAGTGTAAGTCAGGCACACATGCAGAAAAAAGGGAAGAGCCCTAACTGTTTGTATGGAGACGGGAAAAAGGTGAAGTCTTACACTTACTGCTTCCACCATTTCAACCCTTCTGGAAAGGTTAAAACCCTTTAATTACAGCAAATCCAAAATGCAAATGTTTGGAGAGCTTTCCCATCTCTCTGCATACGCTGACAACGCAGGCTGTGCTCTCATCCCTGTCAGGGATTTAAACAGATTTTTGCTTGGTGCCCGGAAAGCTTTTATATTCTATTAAAGCCGGTGCACGTTCTTTCAGCGTGACGCTGCTCAGCGCTCAAGCCTGTGCACACCACAGAGCTTTGTCTTCTGTGTGGCTGCAGATCTGCAAGCAGCCACATTAGCCTTCTCCAAGCAGGGATGGAACATGAAAGGTCCGCTTAATTTAATTTAAAGAAATACTCTGGTGTGTTTATGCAACCAGAATAAGAAAACAGGCGGATCAAAACAACCTCGTTTTCCACTCACCTCCCTGTGCTCCCTTCTCAGAAAGAGAAGGAAAAAAGGCACCATCCCTTTGAGGCGTTTGCCAAAGCAGCGACAGGCAGAGGAGAGGGGAGTGGGTGAGGAAAAACCCCCAGTCTCAGGCAAAGGCCTGCCCTGACCCCAGGTGCTGTGGGGGGAGTCACTGACCCCCTTCTCCTGGCCTGGGATTAGGGGCTAAGCCTGTCTGTCCACTTTTGGACAACACTGATCTCTGAAGACGTAGATGTCTAACCAACTCCCTAGAAGCAGCTGAGCAAATAGAAAAAAATTGCCTATACTGTCACTGGTGCTATCGTTCGAGCGAAGATTTCTCTAGCACCTTATTCTGGAAAGTCAAATTGTAACCATGAGCTAATGGCTTGTCACCCACCTCACGGTAATTATTTCTCTCAGGAAGTCATGTGATGTATTTGGAAACCTCAGTCTTCATTTTAGAAAAAAGAAGCCCTTGTGATGCGGAGATAATTTTGAAAGCCAAACATCCCAGAAATGAGTGACGAGTAGATACAGTCCAGGGTAGTAGTATTTACAATTTTTTTCCAAGTAAACGCAGGGGAAGAGTAAGGTTCTAGAGGAACCTGATTTTGAAATGCCTGGTGTTTGCAGCTCTTCATTTTACAGACAGCCCTGGCTTCTTGGCTCCCAGAAGCCCGAGATTCTTTGTCCCTGTAACTTTCCAATGCTGCCCAGCCTAAAACCGAGCAGACCTCCTGTGTCCACAGTGCAGGGAGGGTAGCGCGGCTCTGACTGCCACAGACTTCATCAGTTCCAAAACCTGCAATGTCAGCTTTTTTTCCCCATCTGCTCTGATTCTTTTAAATAAGGAAACACTTTCACGTTAAAAACTCCAACTAATTAAAAAAAAGTGTTCATCATTGAACTGAAGCAAGACGAGGACTCTATCTGTTCAGCTCAGGACATGAGGCCCCAGTACGGTATTTTCTCCTCCTCCTATTCACGAGAAAATCCAAAAGGGCTCTATTTGGAGTCTGGGCATATGATCAAAACCTTCACTGGCACCAGAAAGATTCATTAGTTAGCAGTCACTACCTATTGCTCTTGGTCAGGAGGGGGGTGAGAGAAAGGGCAAAATAAGGTTTTGGTGCATGAAGCTAAATCAGTCAGCAAAAAAAGTACATTTCTAAAGCTAAAGAAGAATTCAGCACTCAAAGAACAGTCTGAGACCTTGAAGTGTCTAGTAGTTGTTTGTATCCTTGAAGTATTCTGTCTTAGACGGGTAGTGTGACCTTGCAGGTGCTTGCTTATCTCAAATAAGGGATTTGGGAAGACAACACAGAGCGCTCGAAGCCGAGGCCGAAGCTCCAAAAACCAGCCAAGACCAGGCCTGGGGTTTGGACGAACTCCAAGGGTGATCTGAGCCTGCACCAGACATAGAGGTGAAAAGTTCACAGCAAGGAAGACTACTGACTTCATCCCTGAGAGCCCCTACTATCATCCTTACCCCCCCACTACCAAGAAGCACTGCACAGACTCAGGGGGGGGCGGAGAATTCATTTGCATGAGAAGCAGGGAGAGTTAATGCATATGTATAGGCCTTGTGTCACACCTGTTGAATATGTATTAGTTAGGGCCATAAACACAGAACTTTGCTCTGTGTCGGCGCGCACATCTTTGGGCAGGATCCCATGTGCATCCGGTGCTGAATAAACACACCTCCTTTATAACCCTCCAGGGTTGTAAAGTCGTTGTTCCGCGTGTCAATTTTGGCACCCCAGATGGGCCCCACTCTGCTCGGCTGCAGGATCGACTGGTGAGTGGACGTCCCAAGCCCTTTCCTCGGAGGAGCTCCGCTCCCAGCCGCTCGCTGCGGGAGCAGACAAGGACCATCCAACAACGCGGACTGGTGAGGTCTGTTTAAGGGTAGGACCTGTAAGTCGTGCATGGTCTGGGGCTGCTGGTAAATCGTACGGCGTCTGGCGTGCGGCGTTTTCTCTCCTGGGGTTGGGGGTACCCTCCTTGTGGTGGTCGGGCCGGCAAAGGTCTCGCTGATCAATAGCACGGCCGCTAGTGATTTTGGGGGTAGATCGAGTGAGTCTGGGGTTATTGCTCTGTCCCAGCAATGGGAGCCAGGAAGGACCTGCTAATGACTGTGTAAGAAGTGGGAGAAGCGTGCCTCTTTATATAATCTGCAG